AGCTATGCAGCCAATGTCTTAGATACTTGTTGGAATGTTATAGAGTAAAAGAGATGATTATTTAGTAGTGGTGTTAGTGATGATAGAAGTTATCAGATCTTATTGTATAGCATCCAAAATCCCATTGAAACTAATTTATGTCTGTATTATAGCTTATAACTTCGAATAATTTGGAAAATCTAGGATAGGAAGGAAAGGTTGTCAAGTATTTCTAAAGTTTTGTTGAGTTTATGTCACAACCTTTCCATATTCATTATATTCGACCCTTGATTTTCATATATAGATTGACTTGACAAGTAAATGTGCGGTCGAGCGGATTGTTCGGAATGTATTGTGCAAATACATCACATTTTTCAGATAATCTTCGTCTTCTAATAGCGTTATTGAAAATCGTTTGGTTCCCTGTAGTAACTTTCGTATGTATTCACTCTCATCTATCGCTTTCATCTTATATAAAAAGGATGGAGTAGAAGTATCGAAATGGTAATAAGTTCCATTGACTTTAGGATAGCGTGTTAAGGGAGCTGGATACATTGATCAGTGTGGAGAGGAAGTTGCGATGAAATATGATTCTACCAAATAAATATCTTAGATGAGATGGTTTGAAGTTCATCTACAACTTTGTGGATATTGTCTGCAGTTACATGCCATTCAAAAGCTAATGGGATCTTATTCGTACATTCAACCTGAAGTTGATGATTGGAATATACTTCACTTCCTTGATTACAACTCAGTCATTCAATATCAGCGTGGGAATCAGTATCACTGTGTAGTGGTCCAGCTATACTACACCTCACATCAGCACATCACGGAAGAACACGTCAGGAAGAAAGATACAGAAATGAGGATAGAGGTAATCAGAAGTACTAAAAACTCAAAAAAAGAGAACAAGGAATTTTGCACACAAAAAAAAATCCCGTTTGGTGACTGGGAGGATAATCTTTGAGTACATTTCTACCACTGATATTGACTCTTTACCATATCTTATATAAGCCGCATCCACCGATTTCGATTGTCACAAGGATTCCAACCACGACATTTACATTTCCCTACACAACTCAGACCAAAAGCCAGAGACTTCAGGCAGTGAAGCCAATTTCTAGTCTGGTCACTTCCAATCATCCTCTAACCTAAACCTACTTCGAACAACATTTTAAGACGAAGCAGACGGTAACCAGGTATACATAACACACGACTCGTTCATCTGAGTCGATGAAGGTTGGTCACGTCATCAACTGACCTTACACTTCTACAGATTATTCTATACCTGACTTATACACTACTGAAGTGGTTGTTTCATGACACACAACTTACGCTAGGAAGGCAACGGTGGTCGAAAACCGGAAGCTTACTGATTTTAATGGTCATATTTCACAAGCATATATTAGAAGACAGCAAACTACTGTGAAGTACACTCAGTCTTTAATTAGCAGTCGCGTATCTTGTTAAGTGCTTTATCACATTGCTAGTCCAGTAATCAGTTAATATGTTTCAAGGCTCTTGAGATCCACCAACCTTGATTATTTTATCAAAATTGTTAGACCAACTGATGTGACAATTTAGTAGGCTTTCGTGATCAGCTGAGAGATTAACTTTGATGAACTAACTGTTTGAATAGCACTTGAGAAATGTGAACATTGAATGAAGCACCGACTTTCATCAACTTTCAAATCATTTTCATAAGCTGCAAATAAGTGGTATCGAGCTACTGATCTCAAAAGGCTTTGAAAAATAACCTTTAGAAATTATACTACTTGTTGGTAGTGTAAATGATATAATGAAATTGTCACCTGCATTGTCGTCACTGATGAAATGCGTACGATGAATTTAAACAGCATTCGTGAAAAGAAAAAATTATCAAGTTGAAGATAAAGGTTGTTTTAACCATTGTCAGAAAACATTGGAGATATGTCAGACCACCTTTATTAATGCTAAAAGAATATTAATGGCATAAATACATTCACACTGGTGATCAAGATGTGCTTCGGTAGTAGTGGGTATTCATATCGACCTGAAGTTTTACTCTTTCACAAAAGTTCATCGTTAAGGTTAATCATTTCCGTCTAAATATGCTAGCCAAAGAAGGATAGTGAGTTGATTTTTATCAACAACTACCTCACTGAAAGATCTAGAAAACCACTACCTGCAAGCAATCCTCTTAAGATGTTCATTTAGCGTTCACTCTAGATTTAATATCGAAATTTACAGACAAATTGATGGTGTGGTAATGGGATCGCCTCTATTTTCCCACAGCTTCATGGATAACCCCAAGAATAGTGAATTGCTTCCAAAAAACAGTCAGTCTTAAGTATGCAAAAGACACATGGACTATGCCTTCCTTATTTGTGATGACAGCAAGGACCTGACAAATAGTCTTTAAAATTGCAACACAATCCACACTTCAGTTAAATCTACACCAAAAGGTGAATCAAACTTGAAGTTTCATTTCTTTGATGTTCAACTATAAAGGAAGCTTGATAATTCCATATATATATATATATATATATATATATATATATATATATATATATATATATATATATATATATATATATAAGCCCTGCTTGGGACGGGCTGCTGACCAACTTTCAGAACTGAGTAACTTTGAGTAGAAAGAAGAATCTTGTGCGCTAGATCCCATCCAGAATAACAAGAATAAGCGATGATGATATACTTGTTCAAAAATTAGAAAGTGTGAGAGAAATACTGTTAGAGAATGGCTACTCATCCACACTTATAGAGTAAAATATGAAAAAAAAGATTATGAAGAAGACTCAGACAACTCCGAAAAAGTACTTCTAATGAACATCAGATTTAAAAGTGATATTGGCGCGACATACTTCTTCAACGTTTGCCAAAGTAGTAGAACATTCTATGCTACGAATCTCCGTGTTATGTTCTTATATCAACAGGTGACTCGTCAGTGTGTGAAGGGCAAATTGGCACATTAGACCTCATCAATACGGATTTACAAGTCCATGAAGCTGAGTACGTCGACAGTACTACACGCTCGGTTGAAAAGCGCTGTCGCGAACACTACCCAGTTTGGGCTCTGAAGAGTGAGCACAAAGCCATCTCCAGAGTCGAATATCTCATAGACTCTTGATATCTAGCTCTTCCGTATTTCCTGACAATGGAAAATTTAGCAGAATAATGTGTTAAGATTTTGATACGAGACTGAAAGTACGTGATTACCGAATTTTCTCATGCATTAGTAGAATCCTGCTGTACTACATGAGTTAATGTGACTTCTCTACGCACTTAATTATTTCTGAAGTATTTAAAAAAATAAAACAATCGCAGCATGAGTTCAAGAGTCAGGAACTCGAGGTTGAAAACTAATTGTCATGATTTATTCCGGCAACAATAGGAATTACGTTGTCCAAGTTTGTACAATTTCCTTCTCTGAGATGCTAATCCACTGAGGTTTCATTTCTTGTTAAGTCTAAAGTGAAAATGCCTTTTCCAACGAATAGATAGCATAGCACATCAACTTAAAATAGAACTGTACTTTACGACTGAGCTAGGTGAGTATGCACTAATCAAATCTTCGTCCCTGCCACAGGTTTCGGAATACAGGCATACCTACCAGTGACCAACACTAGTCACATTTTTTAGCCTGAATGTGGCTTTTGATTCTGTCGACTAACAGGTCTTTCGGCACCGTATGACTTTGAACGCAGTACTCAGGAAGCACATAATTTCAGTGAAAAATCTATTTCCGAACTAATACAGTTGTTTAATTTGGGGGTTTGTGGGGACTTATCGATGTCAAGCTGATATTCATCACGGACTGACATTAGTTGGAGGCAAAGCTGGTGGCCGTGAGGACAAATACTTTACGATGACATTAAGTGATGGTCACGCTATGTCGTGAACTGACAGAAGTTGGAAATATGGACCACTGGATTCCGATGTAGTGGCCCAATGGTTACGTGCTGGCCACGGAACCCGGAGGCTCCTCTAAATGGTGTCAATCTATGATGAATACCAACTTAATACAGCTGTATACGGTCTTAGAGAAAGTTGTCATCCGAAGTCATGACATCAAGTGCACCCGTCACGAATGCCTGCTATTGCAGTTCCTAACTAACTTCGCAATAGACGTGCTGGTCGACGTAACTCTAGGTGCCTCCGAATCTGCAGACAGTAACTTAATCCCTGGATGGCACCTGACTGATTCGGAGTATCCAGAATACACCGTTCTGTAATACAAGGATGCTGACAACATTGAGTCTTCTAAACGCCTGAAAAAACCTGAGTATATTTGGCATGCGTTTCGCATCCGTCAAATGTAAGATGATACTCCAGGAATGTTCTGCACCATCTCCTATTTTAAGGATAGGGAGTAAATTGCTTGAAGTACGTTATACTGTATCACTAAGAGTTATATATCAAATAAACAAACCAAATATGGAAAACTCAACCATATTGTTGCCCATGATAATCTTACCAACCAAAATTAATTTACAGCAATATTAAGGTACACCGATTAGTTACTACAAAGTAACAAAAGTTCAAAACTATCATGAGTGACACGAAACCACAAAGCACCCAAGACTAGACAGTATGGCATTACTTATCTTTCAATGATTCACTAGCGTACCAGATTCAGTTCTCAAAAAGTCAGGCATATTTCAAGTAGCCCAGTGTGCGTTATTCGAAGCTGTAGATACGCCTTGTTGGGCAGTGTAAACCATTACAAAAACTAGACCACCCATAACTGCTCGCTGTTATCTTTCGCTGTAAAGCATTTCGGTAATTCTATGCTGTTTCACTAGTAAGACAATACAAGTGAAATAAGTGTCATGAAATGCGAATCCTGAAGCTGAAACTAACTTAATGGAATAAAGTAACAAACGGGTCATTTAAAAAAGGTTAATAGGCTTAAAGAATCCAAAATGTTCGCTGATAAAAGTTTTTCAAAGTAGTAAAAAAATTCAAACCAATTAGGCAAGGGTATATACAGAATATACATCTTTTTAAATTTACAAGAAAATTCAAATAGACAATACAGTTAGTAATTTTTTAGTTAAAAGTCTAGTATCTTCATTTGTGTAGACTTTTGACTGGAAATCCCCAGCGCGATCACAGATAGTAGTCAGGGTAGGATCAAGAGGTAAACGACCTATAAGACAAGATATTGTAAAAAGAGTATAATATTCCTCCATTACAACTCCCTATAATGAAAATAAAGCAGTGAAGTAGAACAACAGTGCTGCAGACTTAGTGTTATTCACTTCAATGGTAGCAAAAACCAACCAGCAACAACTGACCTTGATTTCATGGCTCATTATTCTTATCCGCTTACAATACTAACCACGTTGTCAACAACTTTTCAGGTTCTGTATATTTTTCCACTCGGTTGGTTTATGTGACGATCCATTGTGTTTAGGATAGAACCTGATCACAATAATAGGTTTGATATGCACCGAAACCATTTAAAGTACATTTTTACACATAATGAATGATAAGGTTTTTGATCTTTGATGACAGTTAGAGAATCACTGAATCGTTAACGTGAAATCTTAAGCAGATACCTTGATTTATAAGGAAAGGAACACACAGCTATTCTTTTATCATAATTTAGAAGCACTGGTTTGACTTTTTCACAGAATGACCGGAGATAGTGTCAAACGATACAGAGCGGATAGAAATTATGGGAAAGGAAGTTGGATACATACTTTACAGCTTTATCTGCTACCCCAGTCTTATGAAACTGCATTAATAGTAGGAGATCTGAGTTGAGACAGAGACAAAGTTGACAAGATGACTGTGACTGCTGATCTATTTTATCGCTAAAATGAATTCATAAATGGATATTACAGTTCGAAGAAGACGTATCGGAACTATCTGAACAACAAATTAATGACAAAGCTGAAATCCACATAGATTACTGTTGATTTAGAGGACACTAGTGTATGGAGAAGCTGGAATTTTAAATTACATTGGTTTGTTTAGTTCTATCACAAGCTGTTGAAGGTCCAGTAGTTTAAATGCTTTGGTTAACAAATTCAACTACTTTACAACACTTAAACAACAAATTTCAATGAAGAGGAAAGTAGACGATGTACTCTTTGATATGCAGGACTAGTCAGAAATTCTTATTGGTAAACAACAAAAGAGTATCTATTTACTTATTATCAAAATAATGACAAGATAGTTTAGGCGTAAATGAAGAAAAAAATCTGTAACTAAACTTGAAAAGACAACTCAACCGTTGTACAGTCACGCGTTTGATAACGTGCCATTAGAATAAGTAATACTTCTGGTAAAACCATTGCACATTTCTTTGTGTCCGTAAGGTAACAGGTTTGCAAAAAAGCATAATTCGCCCAATATAAGAAACTAACTTGGAGTACAAGGCAGATTTTGGACAAGATTGGAATATACAACCAGTGTGTTTCGTTGATTAAGCAACTTATCTTTTCAAACATTTCACGAAAATGGGAGATTGGAAGGCGGCATTATGTCCAACAGTGTCCCTAAGAAACGTTGTCGAAACGTGAAGAGACTAGCTGCAACTGAAATATATATATATATATATATATATATATATATATATATATATATATATATATATATATATATATATATGACATAAATCACCCAACAAAGTTCATAAGGTGAATAAATAGAAGCATTTGTTGATTAATTTGTACTCATAAAAAATTTACACTTAACAAAACTGATTACACTCCTTAAAAGGAAAGTAATGTTTGATGCATAATATTAATTGGATAAAATACTAAAAACTTGAATATCATAACAATGGTGGGCATACCTAAGAATTGAACATTTTTTTCAGCAGCCAATGCTTCAGCACCTCCTGATGAAAATATATTTGTACAATGAGCACAATTAGGACATTTATATCCACTCATATTTTCGACTAAACCAATGATTTTTAGGTTTGTTTTAGCACAGAAACCGATCTCCCGACGTACATCACATAATGAAACTCTCTAGTAATGACAACAAGAAAATTGAATAATGTGATGAAAGTTAAGCTACCTTCATTACACTGATGCGATGAACAATTTGCATAAGTTAAAGAGACAAGTTGCTACAGCCTTAACAATTTAGTTCTTGTTTGCAAACATACACATGGCATGCAGAAATGAAGCATTCAAGGCCTTATTCAAGGAATGGGTAGCCAATTGTCAGATTTTTCAGATATTATAAAGGCTGATCAATATAAGTTATTTATTACTAGCTGCTGAATTTCATGTTGAAACTAAGTCGCAAGGTCACATTACGCTATATTTCTTTCACAAAAAATCGCGTATTAATTACACAGGTATCTACCAAAACGATTATTAAATTCTACTTCCACCAGCTCTGTTTACTTAATGTAACACACACCATATCCTATTTATATTCACTACTTCATCTGATTATTTTCATTGTTATGAATGAATTCCTTCTCTTAGGTAATATCGGCCCTATAAGTGAGCGAAGTTACATCATAGTTTAAATGTATATGAAAGGGAACAGACTAATAACTCATTATTTTGTGGTTTTTGTTAGAAATTAGAACCATGCTGGACCTAAAAATATATTTATCAACAATGGAAAAATGAGGGAAGATACCTAGAACAACATCCCACTTTCTAGACAGAGCTTACACTTAATTGGCAGACAAATAAACAACACAATCTAAATTAACTACATTCCACATTTCAAAAGTAAATTTTTTAAGTTACACATGAACAATCAAAAATAATGTTTACCTGTGGGGTTGAAATGATAATGGTCCCGACATTTGCACTAACTGTGGACCTTTGTAGTTGCTCAAGGACGGTTATATGTTCATCTGATGTACCAGGTGGAGTATCAATGATCAGAAAGTCAAGTTCTCCCCAACAGACTGAATTTAAAAGCTCACCAACCATGCTCCCTTTGCGTGGTCCACGCCAAATAACCGCAGAATTAGCATTATCTAGTAAAAAGCCGATTGATACTACAGGAAAACGTTTAGCGTCGCCATCGGCATAAACTGGCAGCCAACCTTCGGCACAAGAATGTATCTTAAAAGAATGTATGTAGGTAAACAGATATCAGTTACAGTTAACTTCTACACATGTTTATACAATGCAACATACAATATGCGTAAGGAACTACAGTTTACAAACTGTACATCACTACTCTATATTCTAAGAAAATAACCTTAAACAATTGTGTTTAGGAACCACATTAGCTTCTCAAGTTTGGACAACCAATTGCGTCTAGTGGTTTACTACTTAATGACGTAGAGCCAAAAATATGGTGAAGTATGTGATTCACTTGAGCCATTTATTGATATACTAGAGAGAAAATAAATAAAATGCTACGACGAACTGATAACAACAAAGAAATACGGGAAAAAGGAAACGATATCAGAAAATAGCCAAAGAGAAAGAGAGGGAGATCAATAAAAACATATGAAGAAACTTGGTCTTTATACAGCTGATGAGAAACTACTACAGTAATTGGTTTTTTCAAGTTGTCCTATGAGTCATTTTATGATAGCACCTTTTATCACCTTACAGAATACATTATGGGGACCAATGTACACTTAAAGGTTCTAACCGATGCATTTTTTCAACTGACGAAATATACCCATTCATTCATTCATTTTTTATTACACAGAATTGTGTGAGAAGCTTAGCATGCTTCTGATTGCTCAACGAATAACCGTAAGAAAACAATGGTCACATTATGAAACAGCAGTGTACCCCTTAACTCAGTATTAAAAACAGATCATGCAGTGACTTCTTTTTGTCGATAATTGGCTGTTTCCTTTATCTCATAAGTAGTTAATATTTATGCTATTTCAGTTGCATTTCCCATCTATAATTAAGTGTTACTTTATTATGATGCAATGTAGCTGCGGTTGCATGCAGATTTTTGGGCTGGGCAGTGGACCAAATATTGTATGAGGGCTAATGATACTATCTGACTGCCTAAAATTAGGTAGATGGAGCAGTGTTCAAACCCGTAGCTTACTAGTTGAAAGTTTGCTGTCTGAACTCGTATGTCATAGTCCCGATTCCATAAAGGTCACTATTATAAGCAAACACCTGCTTGTTATCTTAGTGTGGTACTCAGTTAATCAGTAGATGAATATTGCACTCCCGTATGCGAATTCGTATGTAGGGGGGGGGCTTCTGAGATAACTTACAAAACAGGTTGAAGCTGTAGAAACCAAGAGCACAAGATAAGTTACCGACTAAATAGTATTTCCGATTAAACAAAACACATAATATCCTGATTGTTGAGTAGGTAAAGTACGATAATGCACATTAGAAAACTAAACTCCTTGGACTCTTCAACTAAATAAGTCAAGTAACGCCAACGGCAGCATCGAAACTGGTATACACTACATTATTTCTTCCTATAAAAAGGGTCGTGTCTACAAAACTGACATGAATTTATAGAAATACCTACATATAGGTACTTCTTAGTGAATTGTCACCCAGGATGAGAACTAAAGGCTCCTATTAATTTTGTAACAACCCTTCAAACTTGCATAGCAGAAAAGTATAACACTTATGGTTGCTAGTCTGCAACTGAGGATATGCTACATTGGATGCTGATGCGACATCAAAAGGCTAAATCTGGATATCACATTCAAAAAAATACTATCTACTTCTGCTAAACCTATTGCAATCATGTCAACAGCTGTACAACGAAGATGGAATGACAGCATCAAGACTTACACAATGTATTGCTGATTTGAAGCAATAAAGATTAAAAAGATCTGGGTCGCAGCGGAATCCGAGGCAATAGCCTTCGGATGATCTATCAAGTGAGCTACGAGACCCACCTGCTGACCAGATCTCAATTTCGTTTCAATTATCAAGATTTTTCCCGAATGAATGCATGGTGCGTAACTGTCTGTTTATTGTATTCACACTATCTGGCCAGTCAGGTTTTCTCACCTCAATCCAAAGTGAGCTGAATCAGAGGGGGAGCATTACACTGACTGTCAGTATGGCTATCTGAGATATTCATGATTTGGCAAACCCGTATTATTAATATTCACATAGCAGTCGGACGAAACACTTGGTGAATGAAGTGAAATTAAGATCCGATCAGCCGTTGGGTCTCATGGCTCAGCTGATAGAGCACCTGGCCGGTAATGCGAAGGCAGCTAGTTCAAATTCTGCTGCGACCCAGATTTTCATTTCACTTTCAATCATCCAGTATCAACAATACGAGATTGCTAAGCCACAGCAGTCTCAGAGTCCCACCGATTATGAAGGCGTATCTTTATTCAACGAATACTTGTCAACAAAATACGTCAACTGCAGCCCTAGAGCTGAAGACTAACAACAGACTACAAGGTTGAATAAGATGTTTAACTTCTTATGGTTTAACTGAGCTAACAACACATCAACATAGATTTATGTATTTTGTATTTCGTCAGTGAATTATACGAGATGTGAGTTGATTCTGTTTCTTAATGTGACTTTTTATCAATAATACTGAATAAAGACAACTACCGAAACTGCTGACGACATGCAGAATACGTAAAACAGAGCCTAGCATAAGAATAATTCCGTTCAGATTACAATAATATCACATCAAGAACGTTAGGAAGAGAAAGAACAAATATAAAACAACAGTAAACAGTCACAAAAACTTGAGATATCGAGAAGACTACAAAGACATAAGGTGGAGATGCACAGTATATTCGGTAAAATTGGACAAGTGTTACGTTGCACGTGAAAATACTTTTTGAGACCACGTTCAAACATAAAAATCATCAAACTGTATTACAATGGTCATCATGCTGAATGGCATCTAACGGCAAATACCGACTTGATGAATGAGGAAACGTTATGTGTCCAAATGTCGTCAATGCTCAGTGAGCTTTGTTACCATACTTTGACATTCAATTACACTCTTACCAAGCCCAATGATTCCCACACAAGTGGGGAACAGTCAGAAGGGATAAAGGTTGGATTACGAAGAACTTTTTTGAGATGAGTAGACATTAACATAAAATGAAGTTTTTTAGGCAGCTTGACCCATTGAACAGCCAGTAAAAACCAACAATGAAGACTTTCTCAAGTAGTAACTGCAGATTATCAGGCAGCTCATAAAACCTCTGATTTAAGAGGTAAGCTTCTGGAAGTCTAATAGCGAACAGCAACACTAGTGATCGAAAACAACGCAGACTTTCAACATACTGGGAGGTTTTGAAAATTGTGGAAACCATAAACACACTGTGGAAAAAATACGAGACAAGGTAGAGATATAACGAGTAAATGGGGCTTGGTTAGTTGATAATATGCTTGTTACGGATTTTTGAGATGTTGCTTTGGGCTTCATAAAGCCATAACACAGGCAATGAGTTTTGCAACATACTCTGTGTAACTCTAATGTTTCAAAACCACACAACATATTTCATGGCTTTCAACCATCCGTAAACATTTATTTCTGGCTAGATTATGTTGAACTTATTAGCGAAAATAATAAGGACGGAAAATTATTCAAAACACAAACTAACTTTGCAATTTTCCAAACCAAGAATCCGGGGGATAGATGGTCCACAGAAGTCAATATCGAGAATACCAACACGAAAACCACTATTCCATAGGCTGATGGCAACTTGGGCGGCGACAGTAGACTTTCCAACACCTCCTTTTCCAGATGTTACAATTAAGACATACTTCGTGTCTTTTATACCGCTAAGAATGAAATCCCTATTAGAAATATCCTGAAACAAGGTTTTACATAAAAAGAAACACAATAGTAAAACAAACATTATTTCAAGACTTTATTGACATTTGTATTATTACAAGATAGTTTTGTACATTTTTGGTACCGTATAAAACAGTGGTGCTATCTATAACGCTTTTCGAAAGATGTTTTATGTTTGTAATCTTCATGGTAGTGAGGAGGACTACGGTCTCTTAGGCCAGCACCTCTTGGAAGTCTTGACGGTCTATAGCGTTCTTCAAACCTCTCTCTCTCCACTGAACGGACTATAGGGTATGTTGGAGGGCTGCATGCCCATCCAGGAGGTGTAAGACCAAACGGTGGTACAGGAGAATTACGATGGTATTCAGATCGAAAAGAATAGTTCGGCTCTGGGCTATTAAACCCATGCCATCCAGGAGACGGAAGGTAGAAACACGGGGTGAAATCCTGCTGGCGATTTGCATAGCGAACGGGTTCAGTACTTTCTCTGTAGTGGTTCCTACAAGGTGAGACTGAACGGGGAGAATCGTGTTTAGATCTACGAAATTGGTGGGCAAATGGTGGAACAGAATGAATCCTCATGTTAGAAAACTTTGAGTTTTGTTTTGGACGAACAATTAGTTCTGTTCCGTGTAATGTGAGACCTTCGAAAAGTGTACAAGCATATGGAACAGATTCTTCATCCTCAAATGTCACGAAAGCAAATGTACCCTTGACAGTAACATCTTCTAACGGTCCTGCCTGGAGAAAAAGTTCATAAAGTAGGTCACTGGTTATGTTAGAGTTAACATTCCCGATATATAAAGATCTATCTGCAGTCATAGTACCAAATCCTTTAAGCAACCCGCCCTGCGTAGTCATTGTCACAAGTCCAATTCAATATCCAATATCTTTTTAGGAACCTGTGTAAATCAAATGGCTTCTCAGCACTCACTTCTGGGTTCTGCGTAAAGGTTCTAGGTCTTTAGTGGGCTTTGATCCAGTAGGTCTATTCACTCGCTTTTTCTAGCTACGGAATGCCTGAAGAAGAGTTAGGTGTTGATTACATTGGTAGGAACTGTATAATTTTCACATCAGTATATTTACCTTACTGTCAACCATGGCTGCGCTTGCAGTACAGAATCTTCATAATTCATTCCATGACTGCGTTGTGATTGGTTTCCTCAAATATCGCATCACCAGACTGCTGTTAGGACTGGTTGCAAAAAAAGATAAAAAAGATGAAAAGATTTCCAGCAAAAATAAAGGACAGGAAGAGGGGAAAACAAAGCGAAAAGAAACGGAACAAAAGGGAGAGAGAATTCTAGGCATATTCAAGGAAGATAACAGGGGTAACGAAAGCTTTGATCAGTAGGATGCGATCATGGAGGAAAATCTTAGGTAGTTACAGTTTACTACTTGTTGTCTTTAACATACTAGGCATACCATGAATGGCCTAGATTTTGTTGATTGTCTTTCAGGTCAATACCGTCCAGTATATGACGGAAGTTATGCTGAGACTAAATACCTGAAAGCAATAGCCCAGACGTCTTCATTCTTCAAAGATAGGATTATCGAACTAATAACCCATACTATTCATTATATACCAGTATCACTATGAGGGCGCATCCTAGTTCGGCAGCATTCGTCACAGGATTCAGACACTATATTCGTCAGAATCCACTTGTTCACAACGCAGTGCATAAGGCAAATTTCTTGACAGATGATTCAACTGTGGCTTTGCAACCCCATAATCATGTCGTCCAGGATCGAAAGCTGCACAGTATACACATAAAGTTCACTCCCTGGCTTTTGCTTTCTCCGCCGCCTAACTATGTATTGGTTAGAGACCAGAGTACGTAAGGCACTAATATACTGGCGTCCCACTTGGCCGTCAAGGTATTTGTGGAGAAACATCTGTGTTCCTTTTTGAGGTGGTTTCGAAGAAAGCGATTATGGCATAAGTTGGTATGCACTTCCTTTTATTGAAATTGAGCAACCGTCTGACTTCAGTTTCCATGCGAGTTACGATGTCTTGAGAAGTTGAAGGCTGGAAAGACTGTTAAGTGACATTCGGTGATTTGAACAATGTAACTACTAAGTACTGTTGTGACCCATAAACCGCAGACGCCATATGCCCTGTGATTTTAGGAGACATGCACACTTTATGCTGCCGCAGTTAGTTCTAGAGATCAAGATCAATCCACTCCGAACGGCCAACTGGTTGGATACGCCTACGCATTCAGGCGGGAAAGAAACAGTGGATTAAGCTCTATCTAGTACCAATCCAACTGGATTGACGTATTTTAGCGTGCACCAGTAAACGGTTATACGTTACACTTTCCTGGAATTTAGATCCACTGGTCCCATGATCAAAATTACTGTAAATAAGTAAATATTTTATTCTCAACTTAAGAATTCAATAAGACAGAAGCCAGTTTACGGGCATCGTCAAATCGAAAATGGTGGAGAAATCTCCATTAATTGACCCGCCCTGAATGATATAGCAGGTAGGTCATCAACGTCTATCGTGATATCAAAATTGTCTGCAGGTTATGAAAAGAACAGGAAAATAACACTTTACAGTACGCAGAGATTGTTTGTGAGTTTCGGTCGTTTCCACTCACCATTCTTTTTCTCACTCTAAAGTGGCACCTGAAATGCACGATATTTGACGTTTGCGTTACGTGTGGCCAAGATGCCCAACCTTGGGGTTCAGTCCTGAGTTTCTGTAGATAACCACTTATTTTAGCATCACTTCACATTGGCCGAAAAACTTATTTCATCGATTTCAGTTAACAGTAAGTGTTAACATAACCACCTGATCCACGTGAATGTCCGCGTCCACTCAAGGAATTCCTTACGTTCACTTATCTATTAACCGCGGTTTGGATTAAGAAACTATACATCTTTCGATTTCTGGAAACTAAAAAAAGTGAGTGATGTGCAGAATGGACTCAAATCTATCATGCGGAATACAATGGCATTCATCATGTACGTCTCATCTGAATAAATAACACTCTGGGATAACAGTGGATCCTAATGCGCGGATCGTTTAGTCTTCCCCTCATGGTCTCGAAGTCAAAAGATGAGGGGGCTTTGACAAGCGGATCAACGAACGCGGTCATGGAGATTTTAATTTATCATCAGCAAATTAACCACGTAGACGAGACTTTCGTCCAACATGTCTCCTACACATATGCAGTTTATCTTAACGGATAATATTTTCATTTTCCGTTTCACCATATAAACCTCAGCGTTGTGTGCTTCCATTCTCACTTCACCCCTTGAGAGTTTCATAATAATATATACCCGTCGGCCTCTCATGTGATCCACTGTGTGCGAATGGCTGCTGGCTGTGATCATGAGTACCACTAGCTAACGTCAGTCTTTTCATGCTACGTACTTATTCATGCAAACTAGAATAGCGCTTTTAGGACCACCGTGCGAGCGGAAGCATGAAGGAAATTATTTATTTTGGCGTGTAATCGTAAACAGATGTAGCGGAGTTTGCAATGGTTAATCCGCACTTTGTTTTTCAGCCGTCAACACAACACTACTCGTCTTACGGAAATAGAAACGTAAGCTGCTTAAGTGGTGAATAACAAACATTTCGAAAGGTAATTTTGTACTGAGCTGTTAATAAATATTGTGCCCTAGCGCTTTTGTCTGCCCGCGTGCGCATGCAAAGATTTAAGTTTACACGCAACTTCCTTTTGTGAGTGTTACCCCATTTACAGTTAGTGGTTCAAAATACGTTTTTAGAACACCGGGAAGAACAACTAAGAAATCTGAATGAGTAAACGCATTGAAAGTATATTAGTTCTTCAGAATGCCTAATGTTCCTTGGCTCACATGAAGTTAGCAGATACCCACAGGGTCTGCCCGCGAATTAAATCACACTTACTTTTCTGTGAGTCAACTGGTAATAACCGTCCTAGCTTCAGATTCCTGGAATCCAGATACCAGGACCTACCTCTCGACCGCGCGAGTTCATCAGATCCGTTCTCTAAAATTTTTTGCTGTTTGTGATCTGACATTTTCATCAGTCTACAGCAACACTCACACTTCTGTGGGAGTGAAACTGTGAAATTCTGCATCTCCATCTGTTCGAAAATATTGACTGTAACTGACCTTCACCTTTGCGTGCGTTAACCACATCTTATACATAGTTATTTTAATTGCATCTGGGGATTTCTATGCTTTAGGAAACAACTGAAGCGAGATGGATGTTCGCAAAAGAACTTAAAATTAATTCTTAATGACCGTACCTATGAGGGTGGTATGCCCCTGCGGATCCGGGAACAAAACATGATAATAATCGCTTTATTCAGAGCAGCATATGTGAAACATTATGGGAGTGTTAGTGTGCAATATTTCAATAAATTCCCTCTCCGTACAGTATTTGCAAACGAGATAATTAGTCCGCCTAAATTGTTGTTAACAATAACAGTACTAAAGGCAATAATGTGAAACAGGTGGCTGTTGATACATTGGCGTCTGGTCCGGATGCGTAAACAAATAGGAAGTGGAGCGTGACTTCGGTGGTCGCTGTTTATCCAGCCAGTTCAAAAATCTGCAGTTCGACATGACATCGTTGGCACAGTAGTGTGTTGTAGTGTTGTGCATTTATAAGTCCACTTCTCACCAAGGCACAGGTTCTTCTTCTTTTTGCTGTTAACATGAAAAGTGGAAGTTTGGAAATATGTTAAAAGTGTGTAAGAGTGCGTGACAATTTTTAGGACATCCAAAGAAGCTTAACGCAGACTCTAAGGAAAGAGGCCGATGAAGTGTATTCGATGAGAAATTTTGAGCGGACCAAGGTTTCAGTAGACTGTAAGGGAGTGTCATACGGCATGCCAAGAAGTATTCGAAATCACTTAACACAGAACTATACACCATCACAGTGCTTCACGTGAAATCCTGCACTGACGAAGTATACTCTTTAAAACGGATCCTCAACAGACACCCTACTTGACTTCACTTTATTCTCCACTTGAATCGGCGAGATAAGTAAACTTATGCGCTCTAGAAAAACATTTTGTGCATCGGTACTTTAAAACTGTGAACTCCTCGCCTAAAACATCGTCTTCCGAGTCGAGGGACAACACTCCACGGACAAACACTAGCCTCCAGGTGAGTGGAAACGTGCCATTCTCCCTCCCATCTCCAAAGGAGGGGATGGGCAGAACCCGAGGGAATTCATTTTAAACTGCCGTAGGAGAAGCGGTGACTTGATAAAGGCCTACAAGATCATTCACCAAATGGACCATCCAACCGGGACGGCATTAAAGGCCCAAAACTGACGGTCTCACGAGGACCCCACTCGCATAGTCTACCATAAGGCAAAAGCTAGACCAAACTTCTCACATACAGTGCATACCTTATGGGGCCGTCTGCATAAGTAAGTGGCCACAGCTACATTGGTTAACTCCTTCAAACGACTACCGGATATGTACTTGGGCAGGAAAGCTTACCAAAAACATTTGCCTGCGGCAACCAAGGGTATGCTCACCCATCTCTGCATTCCCCAACACTAGTATCTGCAGCAAGACACATCCCTTCGACGTATTATTACCAGTAACACCTACGCTTTCACGATTACTTTTCGCTCCTCTTTTTCTCATTCCCCACACACCCCATTTCTAGTGCTTTTTAGGTGACTCGTAATATTTGCTGGTGGTCACACAAACGGAAATTGTAAAGGGCTAATTGATCTTATCGTCAGGTCCACCGCCCGTCCTGGAAAACCAAGTTACAATTTGCGAAAAATACCTTCGAATCGACAATTACTACTTCCAAAGTGACAAGCAGATAAAGCAAAGGGGCTCTTCTAACACCAGAGGAGTAAAACTGAACGGAAAGAATCGGCCTTGGATACTCAGGTGCGATATCCTACAATTAGAATTTTCCTCTACTCCCCCTATTGGGGAGGAAGAGGCAGAGTCACAATGTTTATAAGTTGCCACCATGATAGCGAACGAACCAACGGAAAGTTTAGGGCCCCCGACAACATCTGGTGCCACTTTACGGTTGGACACGCCAAGTACTAGGTAGGGGGTGTCTACAGAACTGCTACCAACAACGTGGAACATAACCGACGACTGCCCCAAGCAGTGTCCACAGCGATGTCTATGGGATATGACCAGGTCGTTATGGCCAGCGGCCTTAATGCTTCGATTCTCAGTCTTAGGCAGGACGGGGAAACCTCAAGCAGGGGGTTTGACCGAAACCTACTTAACAATGTCAAAAGGGCTGAACTGTATGAGAACATTGACAGTTACACTGGCTGGGGGTCGGGCAGAAAACCGTTTAAAGTTGACCACACTTTTACCAGCGATCGTCTGCTGGCTGAAAGCGCCCGGGCTCAAACTCCCCCTTTGCAGCTGCGATCATAATGTGGTAGTGTTCGGCCTAGTATTCAGTGAACAACTATCATGGGATCGATCCCGCCCTTGTCTTTACTACAGGAAGGCAAACTACGTGGCGATGAACCAATACCTATTGACAGTACCGTGGCCTCAGGAGTGGAGTCATCTTTCGATTGACCAACGTTGGGGACCACTTAGAGATATAATCAAGAGGGCTGCCTCTGAAGACGTCTTAGTGGTCACGACACCGAGGAAGTGAACCTCATGGCTGAAACGAGGCACTGAAAGCCTTATGAAAGCTGGGAGGAAAGCATGGCATAAGCGGAGAATCTCTAGAAAAGTGTCCGATCATACCGCTCATACGACTGTAAGAAATTGTTGCAACATCAAAGTGGGAGGAGGACAGGGGTTCGTCTCAGGCGAACCTTCCCCAGAGGCTTGAGGCGAATCCCTAAAACCTACGTCAGTTTATGGTAAGCAGAAAATTCGCCAATCAAGAAGCATGCGTTCTGAGGGCTCAAACGGAGAGAGCCTCTCTGGACTAGAGACCACCGAAGCCTTTAGCGCCGCCTTCGCCAAACTCCGACGATGTTAAGTTATAGAGAGCTGTGGCACAAGAAGCAGAATTGAGCGCACTGCTAAGTGATCTCAGATTGCTTTCAGAGTGGGTGGGTATTAATGGACTAGCATTTAATCTGGGTGAGTGCCAAGCCATATTTCTCCTTACCCCTGCTCCTCAGAAGGTACCCTATCCCCCTAAGGAACACAACTTTCCCACACCACCACGAAGAAAGGCCCGGGACTAATGCCGACTGATAAGCCCAACATTCGCTCCAATTATCCAGGAGACGCCTCCAGAACCTATGCAGCACTGCACTTCATGCTCAGACAGCTTGGCGCCTTGACCCCAGAACTCTTTTTGAAGCTGTGCGAGACTCACATATGACCTCACTTAGAGGTCCACAACGTCATTGCACCACCATATCTGAAAAGAGCTGTGAACCTCGTAGAGAAAGTCGAAAGGACATCTATAAGGGTGTCATGGGAATGAGGCGAAAACCCTATGAGGACAGGCTGAAAGATCTAGGACTCTGCTGTCTAAGCTGCCGTAGATTACGTGGTGACTTGATAACGGCTTGCAAAATACAGTCTGAACGTGATTACTTTATGGGAATAATACCTGCTTGTTGGCGCCAATAATTATTGCATCGCTTCCACTCTTTCACAAATTCTGGACCATCTTCAAGATTAACTCACCTACTGGTCATGATTCTTCTTGCAACGAACCGTCTGACCATTCCCAACAGTATTGGTAGCAGAGACATTCTGAACAGATGATTAAACCAGAGACCAATCTACATATAGGCTCAGGACATCACTTATCTGCAGTGGCTCCACACTACACATTTTCTAGTACTCTGTACCATGAGACCTTTTCATACAAAACTTACTATGCGTTAAATACACTTCTGGAATGATGCCGCCTACACTAATACAAAAGATACCCGAAGTCTATGTATAAATACTGCCACTTGGACTATTGACTGTTTCAACATCTATTTCCATCCAATACAACAAGTATTGCCAGCGGAATTGGATAATCTATATCACCTCTAAACGTAACATGGTGACCTGGAAATGCATTGATATAACCATACGCGTTGGTTATTTAATTGTGAATACCTTGTTGATACTCCAGGTTGTATAAATGGGTCCTTTGTGGTTAGCAAAGCTAAAAACTGAAGATCATTCCAAGTAATAAACTGTCATATTACTAATTAGCAAACTACGCGAATGGACTAACAGTATCGGTTGGTTACAACGCAAACTTTGAACACTGCGCGCTTCTGATATTGATAATGAAACTTGTCTGTGAGATGGGAGGTGGAAATCCATATCCGTCTCATGAATTTCAGCAAATTTTAGTAAGATTATGCACACTAGTGACTTGCTACGTAAATCGTTCAATACTAGATACCAGTTCGTAAACTTTCAAAAATTATGAATTTGACGGTGCTTGTAAACTGGTGTTTCTCATGTTAAACCTGTTAAATGAAGACAATATTCATTATTATCTAAAGTTAAACATTCAATGTACGCTGTAAAGTAATATTTCCCTGTTCGTTTCATAACTAGCAGGACCTTCGGCAGTTTTTAATTGAGTTTAATGACATTCCGTCATTACCGCTGAGGGCTGAAGTCTCGTAGATTATTTGAGATGTATCAACGTGATGAAGCCTGTAAACTGGCTTCTTTCATGTCGAAACTTTCTAAAGTGAGAATAAAACATTTATTTATTTATTTATTGATGAGTCATCTGAACCTTGGAATCCCACCAAACGGCCACCGTGGCGATCCCCATGGTAACCCGAGGAGAACCCCCTATCAAGGGGTAAAAATCCGTCCGCGTTCACACTTCTCCCTGCCAGCTTGCTGCCACTGGGACGCATTATCTGCCGATATTCCTACTGGTCCGTCAGCTGACAGCTTCAAGAAGACGTTGAACAGTTACCCAGTGACGCACGGTTTGCACTCATCCATCTGGGATATAGACTAAGATGACTCAACCTACTAACTCCGCACAACCCAACACAGCCAACCCATTACCGAATCCTTTGTAACACCACTATCATAGCGAACCCGGCTCGACCTTATACTTTCCCGTAGATATTTCCAGTTACCGTCTCCTACTAATAGCATTACTGTCTCTATTCTTACAAGCCGTCCTACGATGTTATTTACTCCTTCTCTTCCCAGTGACTTTATGTTCTCACACTTTAATTAAAGCTCACCCTATCACCCCTCTTCCATGAGTCTACCGAGGTTTCTTCTCCCATACCGTTTCCTTCGGCTTAATCGTTTTTTCGATTTCTTTGCACTTCCTCTCCCCTGATTTCTCTGCCTATCTATTCTGCCTTCCTTTTTACAACCATTCCGGCCAGTTTTCTGCTGGCACGACACTTCAGGAACCCATTTGGACCACGGTCATTGAAAAAACCACACATTACCTAACAATTAAAACAACAACAAACAGCCTATTAGGCTAACCAGAGCTACTGCAGTCGATTGGGTAGACCTGTTGCATCGGAATCCACCAAAGACCTAGAACCGTCCCGCAAGACCTAGAAGTGAGCACGAAGAAATCAGCTGGTTTACATTAACTCGTAAAATGATATTGAATTGGATATTGTATGTTGCATGTTTTCATGACGACGTTATTTGGGTGATTTTCAAATTGGTGTTGATGTTGAGTGTTAGCGAGTTTAGGCTAGTCTCTACTTCTGGACATTCTAATTCGTTTGTTTGTGATTTTGTCACGTTTTTCATAAGATTATGGACTGAACTAGTTGGATAATCAACGATCACATCTGCACAGCTGAGCGGGCGCCTTGTAGACTATAATAGACAAACAATCCCTGTCGCTAAAGATTGATCGATTAGTCCCACTTTAACGTACCAACGGCTGTTTAGCGGAAAATTCACCGAATGGTACTAAAGGTGTTCCAGGATATAAAAGAACTTATAGGTATTTGTGAACTTTGATTTGAGTTTGTTCTCAAAGCTTCTAAACCTGGGGTGTGTGATGTGAATTTGACTGTGAATGAACCTGTTACGGAAGACAGAATTCGGAAGTGGGAAATGTCGGCTAGCTTCAAATTACCTGAAGATATGAAAGACTTTTACTTGACGACTAACGGGGTTGAGCTTATATGGTACAATGTTTGTAATGGTAAGCTGCATCACGATAATATCTATTTTTTAGAGCAAACTTCAACAGTCGGACAGATCAGAATAAACAAACTTCAAGATTTTACTTCTGTTAAATTAAACTGTGTAAGTTCCGTCGGGGAAGAGACAAAGTATGATGATCTTGACTTGTTTGTGGGCAGTTTGTTGGGATCTGGATTCAAAAGTTGGCCATCTGCTTACGAATTGGAGAAGTGTCCTAACGGAACAACTGTGGTATTTATTTTTGATAACTGTCAAAATGGTGTCTTTGTCTTGAGTAATGATCTGAGTATTCACAAGATCTGCAGCACATTTGAGCAATACATTAGGTTGGCGATTGTACACCTTGGTTTACGCGATTGGCAACTTTGGTACACCACTGACATTCCTAGTCTGAATAGTCAGGTAAGATATGTATACTGTTAACTGCTCTCTAGCAATTGTGTTCACTATATATACCTGAACGACTTTTGTTGAACGCACCTGAATATCGCGAACAGATTTTGTTCTACTTGGAAGACCAGTGCCCTATATCTTTTGACCCAAAGAAATTAATAGACTTGGAGATTACTAGGTGAGATTAAAGGGCTGATGATTTTATTGAAGTATATTTACTCCCTGTACTTTACTTCATAGTCTGTAATCACTGCCACATTACCTACTAATTCTTCTGTAGGAACTAAACCTACGCTATTTATTTCTACCATTCGAGGAATTCGCACATACTTTTCCTTCTGTTTTATTTATCTTCTCTGCCGTTTCCTTTTCTCCTACCTTTTCTTCCCCTCTTTTCCTTCTTATCTTCCCTTATTTTCCTTTTCTCCTTTGTTCTTTTCATTTTTTACCACTATCTTGCTATTTTCTTTCAGGTACCTACACAAGCAGGAGTCATGGCAGTCCCATAACCCTTACAGAAACCCGTAGCTCCCCAATTACTCTACAAAATACAACTTACTAACCCACAAAACATCCAACTCACCGATTCCGAGAGCAAGAAAGCAGAGGGGATTTCCTCATCCACTGCAGGAGTGAACCGAACAACTCGAACTAAGCCCTAAGAATTAGACGCGAGAGATCAAAAACTGTCAGTTTTCTTCGTTCTCACTATCAATATTGAATATTGGAAAATATCATCTTTTGAAGCTTATTAGTTGTGCAAAACAGCTAGTCAAATAATAACTAGCATACGCGATACATAGACTAGTTTATATCAACTGGATATTTCGCTACACTTTAGAGAACTTTTCTCTCTAAGTAAATGTGAAGGGGTTGTTTTGTCGCCAACGTCAAGAACAAGATAGATCTGAAATCTATTAGTTTTTTACGCTCACACTACTGATGTTGGATACCGAAACTTGTTTCACTAAATAACTGAACAGAATTATGCCAAGAATTATAGGTCTAAAAATCATGAAGTAAAATGTAGGATCATCATTCAGCGTCACAAACACAGTGTTTACTCTTTTTTGGATGACGAAAATGAAAGTGTGTCTGTTCTTGTATCCTTGTTTCTTATTCACCCTTGAAGATTAATTTTTAAAGTAATGTTGTAAAATGACATTTGCACGCCTGGCGTATTTTATTTCTGGTGCAAAGTAAGAACAAACCAAAAATACATACCTATCACTCAAACAAACATATTTGGTCCATAAAAGTCAATAATAAAGGCCTCATTGCACTAAAATAAGAGCCCGCTTTGGAAACTGCGGAAGACAGATATGATGTGGAAGGTGCAGATAGCACTTTTAAGTCTGACTTCTGTCTTGATCCCCGTCATTAACAGAATACTGTGCTGATTAGGATTCAGGCAAAATTCTGTCCGTAGTTTAAGCACTAGATACAGTTGCGTACGTGCAATTTGTTTCTACAAAGACTCGAGAGGACTTATGCAACAGAAATGCATGCTGTTGAATACATTGTTTTCTAGGAAGTATTCACCACGGACTGACGTCAGTTGAAGAACCATTTAGTACCTGGGAGAACTGGGTAGCTATTTCGTCCCAGTATAAGGTTGGAGTCTCATGGTCCCTTGATGTCAGTTTCTGATGAGTACTACCTTGAATTCAGTTAATCCTCATACAGCAGCTACGTTTTATGCCCTTTATCCTTATTTTTAATGCCTTTACTCTTCATATTCTGGGTGACGTTTGAAAAACTGTGTTCCAACTTAAGATAAAAATCAACCTGGCGCATCTATTTCTATCAAGTTATGGGCCTCACTTATTACATGATGATTCATGATAGCATCTATGCAGGTTTTAGTTAGGGAGATTAAAACCGTCAGTCTCTTACTTAGCCACATTTCCACAGATTGATTTGAATGTTGTTACTGGTAATGCTACCTTGAATATAACCACTAATATTTCAACTTTTCTAGCAGATATTAAGCATGGGACAGATAAATCAGAGTAGGACCTGGCGCAAGGTGCATTATTTTGTGTTACCACATCATACAGCAGTGTGCAGAAATAAAGTGGATCGAAAACTAATGGCATATGAATAAATAAACATGAATGAAACGGGGGAGATATATGGGCTAATAAAACTGTTGAAGACTTTGAAGATGACAAAGGATGCATACATTTAGGTCATTATGATTAGTTTTGAGACGTAAATTTTTAAGTAAATGAGTCGCATTTTTTCTTATGGTGTTTTTCAGATGTATGGACTGGTTGTTGATATACTTATTCCTTACACTAACTTACGGCCTTTCTTGGCATGTAATGTCGGTTACAGTGAGCCTAGATTAGTGTAAGCCTGCGTTTATGCTGCCAACAATATCTGGTTTAAGGGTTTATTCTCACTCTTAGGTTTGAAATGACCTTACTTATTGTATTATTTTGTAAAATTGCTGGAACTTGGGTTGTAATACTTTACAAGATCATCAAGGAAGAAAATCGGCAGAACCACAAACAGTAAAATTAATAGGAAGATAGAGAGGAATGAAAATGTAATATATAAGTTATACTAGAAAGTTCAGGATTTAGGAAAAGACGTGGCATGAATTTATCTGGAGCTTTGTGTTAGGCAGACTGTTGGTCAACGAATAACGCCAAGAATAAGTAAAGGAGCTGAAGTTACTGTACGTGAAAACAGCTCATCAAGAGGATATCAGGAGAAAATGATTGGTATTGAACTCGAAGAAAGTGTACGAGAAAGGAAAGATTAAGTGAACATTGGTCGATAAAAAGTTTAAGAGTTTAGAGGTACCAAATATTGTATACATTTCTGCCACCGTGATCTATTTTTAGCCACATCAGCAAGAGTCCTTAATGACTTATTTTCAATATCTCGAGGACCCACAGTAGGTTTACCTACATCTTTCCTTGCTCCTCGGAAAAACTATCAGAAACTTTATTGATTGGTTCCATATCATTATCTTGTAATCCTTAACTTTCTTTTAACTTGATGCTAATTCAGCTGGCGTAGTTCGCCATGATAGGTGTTGACTCAGCATGCACAATATATGTCTGCTTCATCACACTTGTCACATATTCACAACTTTGTCTACTATTTTACCTCGCTTAATTAAAAGGGTAAGATAAATCGCAACATAGTTCAGTCTGTAGTACAGCTGCATGCAAGCTGGGTTGTGGAGACAACTATCAAAAACTGTGACTTACTAGTGTTTTCTACTTTCAACAGCTATGCGGATAGATATAGGGGACTGTTGTACCTGACAGCCATTTCTGGTAAGTGGTTGAATATATCTCCTGGACCAGAGAAGATATATTTAGCAAGTACAAAATTGGCTTTTTATATGGCGGCTGAAAATTCGCAGATGGTCAGCCCATCATAGTTGGTAAAACTTTAGAAGTTTAAGTAGTGAACTCATTCTACCATCTCACTCTCTGCTCTTGACTAGAATTCACTGGAGCAGTTTTGAAGCATCATCAAACATGTAACAGATATGAAAAGCATGCTGTATATATTCATAGTTTACCTTAAATTGTTAGGAAGACTCTGAATTCTTTCAACGTCATGGTCTAACAAAACTATATCTTCTGCGTCCTACATGTCAAAACAATGTGTTCCGAGAATTTAGTCGATCGCTGAAAAGCTGGAATTACACAGCAAATAATGAAATGTAAAACTAGTAGCAGCAGGCATTCCTGATCGACGCCACTAGTTATCATCATCTAAGATGATAAACATCTCTGAACTCCCACAGGGCTACATCAGTTTGAATACACAGGTGTGACTACCAAGACTTACTTTGGCATTACTTATTTTGGGGATGGGGTTTAGACAGTTTCGCCAAGGCTGTTATCTCTGGTTTTAAACATCCTAACAGTCACGTATGGAGGTACCTTATACATGAATAAAACTTTAATCAACTGTCAGCGGGTTTATGACCTGATGTTCAACCATGGTCTGACTTCCTGGTTTTTAAAACCTTGTGTTACTGCAGTCACTGTCACATGTCAGAGACCTAGGTAGTAACTTCGGTGCTTCATGAAATTAAAATTGGCTGTCTTATAAATGGTTAACTTTGAGTAAGCTATGTGATTCTGCGATGAAATCAAAACCTTAGTTTCACCAATTGTTTTTCTATTATTTGGGGCCTCTTGTTGTTTCAATAACTACTTGTAGTGATTAATGCTAAAAACACTTTAGTAACTTTTTGATTGAAAAGTATTTTGTTAATTACTCGTATTGTATGAAACTAATCAGTTTTATCATGGAGTGGGTTGTTGAGAGGGAGATGCGAAAGCAAACAGTTCTTATTTGGTCGCAGGTTATCCCATTTGTAGTCGGTGTTCTTGAAGTCTTGTAATATTTTTGATAGGTCCCTCAGATCTTATTCAGTTCTCTGATTCCTCTGATATTTTTCTTATCTTTTTTCTTTTAGACGTGATCGTTCTAAATTCTCCAGTAAAATTGCTGCACCAGGGGTCCAGAGCAAACGAGGAAGGTTTGTTTAACTTTTGTTTCATCATGCAATTCTAACTTGGAATCCTTTTGTCGAGACAGTTTTGAACCCATCGTTTAGAAATGGCAACAGACGTATTGAATGACATATTTTTCATCCATCCTTCAATGGTTTTGCTTATATTAAGGATCCAGTCATTGAGTTATGTCGTTGTTTTCCACAATTTTACACGCAATTTTGTGGCATATGTACATAAATGTCCAATAATCTTGACTTCAGTTGAATTTATACTTCTGAGTGATCATAATTTGATTAACGCTAACCTACATAGTCATATATCAATGCGAAAAGAGTGAAAGAAGCATCCATTAACCTTTCTGGTTCTCTCAGCTGGGTTGATACTTTTTGATTCTTGAGTGAAATCAGCTAACTCTTAACTGAGTATATGGAATCCATGGATATCGGACATTTCTGGCCTCCCTTTGAAGCATCAAGTGTGCTTTAAAAAGAATATACAGATGACTGTTGATGTTTTGTGCAAAAACAGCGTTGTCATTCGTGCGCTTTAGGCAGTAAAAACAATCAATTATGCGAATTCTAAACATTTATTATTGCATATTTTTGTTCCGTAGCTCTGAATCCTAAATGTTTATTGGCTAGTGGATGTCAGAGAAGATTGAAAGTTGGAGGCGTGGCTCAGTGATGTTTAGGGAGATGACTATCAACCATCAAACCACGGGTTCGAGCTTTGCTGCACCTACCAAGGTCTGGGTAGCCAGGTAGTTTCACTAGCCGTCACAACGGACGTGGCTCATTTTCTACTGCATACATGCCCACAAAGTGGTTCAGTGAGTTTTGTTCCAGATGTTAAAAATGAGAAACGAAAAACTAAAGACACATTCAAGAGATGTGCACATACGGTAGACAGAACAGTCACCAGTCTCAAAGATATCTATTAACTCAAAAATAAGAATTCTATTCGTTTAGTACAATAATTCACACAGTTAATCATGACAAATATTTCAGTGGCCTGCGAACGATATTTTCTTGACTTTGGCGATTTCTTTCAGCAGTGAAGAATACTGTAAAACCTCTTCCAATGTGTCTGCACTGCGACGGTCGACCAGTTTGGATGGTTAGGAGCATAGTATCATTTCATTTCTGTCAACCCTAATAGCCACTGCAAACGTCATTACCAAAAGAGATAAGTACACTGACCCAAGTTGTTACGTTTTCTAATAACAAAGATAACTGCAGAATCCTGCTGTATTTGGCAGCATACACTAGATGAAAACCTGTAAAAGACTTTAATCAACTCCAGCCGAAATAAATATTCTACTTTTTTGATTTTTTAAAGTAGTAAAGTTGGAAAAATTTAGAGTGAGTGGTTAAGGATAACAATAAAGCAAACGGGAGGACTTTACCGTCTACTTACATGGGATGGACTCTGCGGTCATGTGCTGACCCTTCTTTTCAGGTGCCTCAAAATGAACCAGCATTTCACGGTCTCGGGAGCCGGGAAATGCCAACCACCCACTTGCTTCCAGTAGTATGATACAAAACATCCTCCATGTCCTTATTTTCTCGTTTGCCTTCGCTTTCTGATACCTGGATCTAACCTTCTATAACTTCTTCAGCCTCTCACTCTGTGTCTATCGCCAACAATTCCAGCTATCGAAAAACCCAGTTTCTTATGATACCGTTATTGGTTTCACTTTTGGTCGTTCAACGTCCTAACCCTATGCAAAACCAGACAGCAGATATCTTTTGCTAGAATCTCGATCCATGGATATATGCTGTTTCTCGGACATATATACAATGGTGAGTGTCAACTTAGCCCCACCTAACCAATTCGGTCTATCTTCGTAATTCATTTTATGAGTGTTTGGAGATTCAGCAGTTAACTCTCATGGACTCGCTTATGTAGGTACAGCATTAAGTTGTAGAGCAGAAGGCACACTTCGTGACTCGGTACCAGTCAGTAGTCATCTATGTGATGTTTTACTGAATGGATCTGTAAGAATTAGGAAGGATCATGAGGCATGCCGATGCCAGTTCATAATCTCCACTTACGCGCCTACCAACTGCAGTTCGAATGAGGCAAGCGATGAATTCTATGAGAGGCTAACAAGTTTTATACATAAAGCAAAACGTTCATATATAGTCATATTAGCAGGCAACTTTAACGATCAACTAAGAAGGCAGAGGTAATTCGAAGGGCATCTTAAGGTTATCTACGAAGCCCTATGCTAACGAACCGATGACAGTGATCACCTGTCGCACTTTTGTTCCGACGGTCTTGTTTGTTTCTATCCAGTACCAACTCCAAGCATAAGGAGGGACACTGCCTCTCATGGGGTTGGCCAGATATAAATCATATCGCTGTACGCCGTCGTTGAAAAGCTACTGACAAAGTTTTGAGAGCGGTTGATACTTACCGGCTGCCCATACTGTGGAAGCCTAGATCTTCTTGAAAAAGAAGGGTTGATGCGTGGCCACAAAGCTCAGAGGACATCTACTTGGGGCCGGTCACGTACGGCCTCTTTGATGCCATAGAAGATGTAGTCAGACATATGTCCTATAATTGGGGATCATCACTAAACACTTGCCACTAGCCTACGCCCCATAAAGCATCATCTATTTATTTTACATGTCTAAACGCTATCCAACAGACTTATCTAGTATGGTAGGATTTCGAGAGAACAAGCTTTCCATCAGCATAGCTCGTTGGATCATCTTCCATTTTATTGCCTTGTTACTTGGTGTGCAGATATGAAAAGCAGCGACTTGGACCGTTACACAATAATGCCTGGTCTTATGTTGGTCTTAATTATGATGATCAGGAGGAGGAGGAACTATTGCTCTTTTTAGAGTACCCATTTTAACTCCACTCACGATTTATTACGGTCACGTATATATCTGCTCCTAAGTGGTGGCAGAACACAAGCGATAGTGAGACCTGTCTATGCTCGATAAGAAGAGAAAGCGGGCACGTGTTTAAGGAGGAGATTAGTAAGGACTTGTCGGTAAGTGACAGCAATACCCATCCTGAGGAAACTTGGCATGATATGAAGTCGAAACAGCGGTACAGACAGTTGGCAACCTACATCCAAAGGTTAGCAAGCGTCAATGGAATTTCTCAGCGTTATCCGAACTGAATGATGCTAGTTGTGACCAGAATGAAGAATGGAAGCAGGTGAAACGTAAATTGACCAAGTGTCTTTTCAGTGATCATGAGCAGTGGTCGGTGGCGAAAGTGAGGGAGATATAGAAAACATCAGCATAAGGTAACACTCGACAAATAGGCTTATTAAAGATATTGACAAGAGGAAGACGATAGTGAGTGGAAAAGTCACCGAAAAGGATAAGACGCCGGTGACCTCTCAGAACAGATGGCTAGAACGTTGGACGCAATACTCTGAAGCACAGTTCAACTGGCTTTCAGCAACACCAGTTCCACACCAGCCAACCCGAACGAGAGTGGGTCCCTCAACTGTCGTGGAAGTTGAGAAGGTCGTTTTGAACCTGAAACGTAAAAGAAGTAATAATTTACATAACCTTAGTTACATTTGAGTTCACATGGACTGATCTATTCCCTGGAGGTCATCTGGTTAACTTGGAGTACGCAGAAGGAATTATCTTGGTAGGTGAAGACTGACAAAATGCAGGATCTTCCGAAAGCGTTGAACAAAATCTGAGTATTTTTCGCATACAGTTTGCACCCATTAAATGTTAGATGAGGTCTTAGAAGTGGTCTGTAACTACTCCAAGTTTAAGGACGAGGAGTTAAGTCGTGATGACTACACTGAGCTACAGTCCGTTCTGTGCTGCTATGCAGCTGTGAGACGTGGCTGTTAAAATGAAATATGAAGAGACTGCAGCTGTCTGTGTAGGACATCTCATGTACAATGGAATTACCATGTGAGCGATGTAGAAGTTAGGTGGAGAGTAATAAACAACCAAAGAAAGTCGTTCAGGTTTTAAACCTTCAGCGATTGAGTTGGCTTGGAAATGTGCTGTACATATCGAGCCACCATCTACATTGATGTGCAAGGCAAGGAGAAGTTAGATTAGGTTAGAGGAAGGTTCATTGTGGCCAGACTAAGACATGGGGCCAGCCGATGAAGTATCTGACTGTTGGTCTGAGCCATGTGGGAAGTGTGAACTGCCTTTTGGGAATCAATCGTTGGAGATCTTCGGTGGCATGGATGAGGATCGGTCACAATAGTGCAGATGTATTCACTCTTTGGTGTCTTCTAAAGGTGGAATGTTTCGACTGACTATTTTTATTTTTCTTATTTTCCTATGCACCTTTGCCTTTTTTGATATCGGTATATTTTCTGTCCACTAGTACTTTTCATGCTGCTGTAAAGTATGACAACTTGAATCGATGCACTTGTTTACAAGGTTCTACGTTAATTTTGTTTGCCTGTCTACTGTTGCAATGTACTTGTGTATATATCATAGATAATACCAACTGATTGTTTAACAAAGATAGAAACTCGATATGTATTTGCTCTTGAATGAAAGAATTTTTATACATTCCTGTAAAATATTTTTCATACTTATCAGTCACATTATTTTATTTTGAATTAATAACTGAAATTTTCAGATCCAGCGATTCACTTAACCTCAGAACGACTGAAACTTTAAGTACTGGAAGAAAATTGAAAAACAAATAATTTACATATGGTGTGGAATAAATTATGCTCTCTTGTTTTCATTATTTTGAAAATCTTTTTATACAATTGACTATTATCAAACCATAGCCATTGTATACTTTCAGCTGTTTCTAGATAGTGATATAAAGTTCTGTTTGTATTGTTCTCATTTCAGTTTCCTGTTACTATGATATTCTAATCTGTAAGCATATCCTAGGCACAAGGCTCACGAATTAGGTAATTTGGCAGAATGGAAGGGATCACTAAGATGTTTGGGAATGTATAGGCTTCTAGGACATAAGTTATCGATTAGTAGTTGTCATAATCCTGTTGTGAATCTATGAAATTGGAATGATCAGTCTCTCTTTGTAGATTGAATATTTCTGTTACTGTTTTGAAAATGCACCGCGATGCATCCTAAAGTATTTGTAGATGTCTGTCGTTAGACGAAAGAACCTTCTTAGAATCTTGTTTAATGCTTATCAATTAGATATGTCTACGCAGTAGTGAATATTAATGGTACCAGTATCAAAGACTAATATTTCACCAACTTCATCTTTTAATGTACAATAACCTAAATGATAATTCAATGAAAATGCATTATGATTAGAAAGAAGAAATGCATATCTTGATTTTGTTTACTTTACACAATCAGAAAGTATCCACTGTCATAGGCTAAAGATGCCATAAGAAAGTCAAGCCGTCTAGAGAGTTATGTAGAGTTTCATATGAAGTCAGTTGCCTAGTTAAAGCCACTAAAAGCCAGTCTTCATTTAGTTGATCAGATGTTGAATGTACGGATTCAGATCTATACAGTATATGTGACTCGAAGACCGCTACTAAAAGAATATTCTTTTAAGTTTAAGCAGAGTAATGACAAGATGAAGATTATCTGAAACATGGGATGTGTAGTAGACTCAAAGAAATGTCAAGTAAACCAAAATGATAAACTACGTGTAACTTACAAAAATAGATTCACTGATACAGAAATATGAAGAGTTATGCGTTATAACACAGAATAATAATGTAACTGTTATGTATGATAACTGGTTACTTGAATGTTATCTCTTCGGTACTGTCCACCATAATTTAGGATACTCCAGAGTTCAGAAGGCAATACTTGTTAGTTCTCCACAGTCGATGTTGTGATATTTAGAAGTAGGATGAGCGGTGCGATAAAATCCAAAGACAACCAATGAGTATTCACGACAGACAATAGTCACGGAGGCAGAAGTCGGAACGCATAGAAGCACACTGTATATCCACGTTTAACAGCAGTAGCAAGGTCAGTAATATCACCACAATCAAAATGTTGTGCAGATAAACAACATTCATTTTTACAAGTATTAGTAAGAATGTACAAAATGTGTTAAAAGTGATGAAAAGGAAACATTATTTTTAATTTAAGTGGTTTATACACAATTTCGTGCAATCTCCACAGATATAATAGCGCCATACATTTCGAACAATCTGATCGTACATGGACTTGTGGAACTATTAATATGAAAATTTACGAAAACGGTCAATGAAGTCAAGACCTTGTTCGCATTGTCTGGAGAAGTTGGGACAAGTGAGCTTAGTTGATCATACAGGTTTTCAAATTGAGGATCGGTCGTTAAATCAGAATTTTGTGAGAGACTGCTGTTTATCATGAACAGATACATGTATTTTTGGACAGATATATAGGGAGGAGTAACCATGATATGCAGTGAAGGATAGTTGAACATGTACCTAAATAGCCTCAACAACAAATGACTTCAGCGGATCAGATAAGTACAGGTGACGTCCGTCTTCATCTATTGCTAAACACAAGGTAGACATGAAAACAGTTTTTAAAGTACTACATAAAAGCAGTGAAGGCCGAGTGCTTAAATTTATTGAAGCTCTTGCCATCCATAAATCCACATCCCCTTTATGTATACAAGGGTAGTTTGTACTCAGGTTGAACCTACCTTGGTAGTATTGATTTGAATTTTCATACCAAGTGTAACGTGATCAAGATTATGTTTTTTCTCTACTCTTCATATTCAGAGTTTCCTATCGATTTCATTGACTCTTTTCGTAAATAGTTTGACAAGTCTGTGTGTGATCAGAGTGTTTGAAATGTATAGCGTTAATACATCCCATGTTTCAGATAATCTTCGTCTTGTCATTACGGTGTTTAAACTTTCCAAAGGGATCAAGTACTTTAAACTATTTGTTAAATTTGTTAATAATTACTGCACCTGAAATTGTGATAGCATCAATCTGGTGCATTTTAATTCGTTGGGATTACTCAATAAGTTAATTAACATTGACTAAATATTTTTTTCAGTGAAAATTTACTGAACATACCATAGTTTGTTAAAATGTCATGGTGACAAAAATGAATGAATACTTTATTGTATATTTTAACCCTATTGTCTGATCAATACAAAGTATTGTGATGAGCCTTTATATGATTATAACTCCTGTGGCAGTAGACAAAAAATCAGCCAAAATAAAATGTCTGTTCTGTCATGAATATGTCTGAAAAAAGATGTATTCATACCTTCATTGCAACCAATGTAATTAGATTAATGCATAATATTGATAAATTTTACAGGACGATGAATATAAGTACGAAAAGGATATTTTCCGTGTAATAATTAAAAACCTGATGAAAGTAGATTTATTAACTTAAAGTCTTTTCCACCTGGATCCAGTCAGTTAACGCATGATAGTGCTGGACACTTGGTGTTCTAGGGAAATACTTAACACCTGATGAATATTTGTTCTTCGTTTTTTGATAACTATTTTTAATCGTTTCATCTTCATGTAACAAAAATTATTTGTGATGCAGACTAGATGGTTGAGGTCCGCGTGACAACAGGAACCAGTGGTTGGAGACTCTAGGTGATATGGCTCAGAACTGATGTCAGTGGAGCAGATGTATACATACATTATCCTCATCTTAATGACGCTATACCGAATCTCACCACTTTCTCATACTTCGCTCTCTTTTCGTACTTTGTATTTCTTTTGACTGCATTCCGTTATCTTCATCTAGCACCTCACTGCCTTTTTACTCGATGTACTGATATGAGATGTGGCAAGTTGCACCGTTAAGCAGTAATGCCTGGTCCTAGGTTGATCTGGATGGATGAACAGAAATTATTTGCACAGAGAATTTTTATGAAACGTCTGAAACCAAAATCGAAGAAGATGAAAAGTTAAACAATCATCATATTTATTTTAAACCACAACTCGCGACTACTGCAAAAGCTATCTGTAACCAAGCAAGATATAAAAGTATTAATACTTGGAGTAAATTATATGCGTCAATGCGAACACCTATACAATTATAAAAAAACCCAGCCAGAAGAATAGCTATTTGCACCAGCATCACAAAAAAGCCTTGAGTAAAAATTTACTGAGAATTAATAAAACACTGGAAATTCTGGATAGACATTATTTTACGTAGCTCATTGTTAACTAGATAATGAATGGCATTTCAAAATTTCTATCAACTTGCAATTTCTCAACTTCTTAAAGCTTCTCACTTTCATAGTGTTTTCTACTCAACTTCTCATCACCAGTCTGATATAAACTATTCTATTGTGTTCAATGCAAAAAACTGAGGATTCAACAGGCTTCAGTCTCTTTTATATTATTATGGAGACTTTTGTTGTGATTCTAACGGGAAATCACTACACGGTTTGATATAGATACAATTTACAAAAACTTGGTAGACAAATGTTGACATGGTTTTGAATGACTGAGAACACTCGAATGATAAATCGTTTACCGTTATCACCGAATCACAACTCTGATAAATGGAGTCCAGTCTGCACTGGGACTAGACAACGTGACTGATGGCTGTTGTTCAATGACTAATCAGAATGCCTACCTCGCTCCTACAGGTGGTCAGCTGAAGCTTACGCAATGCAGTGATAATGTATTTAGTCCCGGCCCTATTTAGCTTATTATCTGTAGTCCCCACGATGATAAGGATCAGTGATTGAGGACTCTTGGTGACATGACTGGAAATCTATTGCAATGGTGCAGTTGTACTCACTCCTTGACATTTACTAAGGCTTGATTATTTACACTAGCCGTTATCTCACAATTGTTTATTCTCTCACACAACTTCCACCTTGTGATAATGATAGAAAGTGGTCAGCAATGGAATCAAGGACACTCGTTTCATCCCATTTTGGATTCGTATTTGGATTAATCTGCTCGACAATGTGATGTTGTTCCCACTAAGACTCAAACACAAGACCAATCACTTCGTACGTCAGTGCATTGCACACTAGGTCAACGAGTCACGACAGCTGCCTCCCGTGAGACGGGTATAGTCTTCAAGCTGTTTCTTGTATTATCCTCCGATTGATTGGACTAAACTGATCGGTTTCTACATTACTGTTATTCTATCCACCTGTTCATCTCATACACTACTGTGAAGTGTGGTAACTTGAACCGACGCACTTCCGTGGGAGGTCCTACGTTGGTTTTGCCTATCTGTAATCTATCTACCTGTGAACAGATGATGAAGCCTCACTTCCTCCAAAATTACAGACGCAACCTACTGATGTGTGCAGCCAACCACGAAAACCATGTTCACATAACACCAAATTCCACCGGAAACTGGTTACAGTCAAACGACTGAACCCTCCATTAATCTGGATGATATTTTCTAAGAAATCACAAATGAAAGTGATAAATGACTCGTTTTATAAAGTGCTAAACTGTGGGTGATTAACAGCCCATATGTTCAGTGTAAATAGGTGAGGATTCAACGGGCTTCAATCACTTCTATTCAACTCTCTTCTCTGAAGCAGAAGTCACTCAGTAACGCACTGAAACACACTAAATAGCCAACAAAAGGAAGTGAAAATGCAATTATGAGCGCAATTGGAATCAACTTCTTCCGGAGGACCAAATAAACCATGATGAGGACAAAAGAGATTTTATACAGTCAAAGGCCTTTTCAAAGTCGATGAAGTTGAGGTAGAGGGTTGACGGCCGTTCTGTACTCTGTTATGAGATGATGCGAAGCGTTGCAATTTGATCGGCACATGATTTGTACTTCCTGAATCCCGCCTATTCCGGTCGTAGTTTTGAATCCAGCACATCCTGTAGTCTCTCCAGGATGATGTGGCTTAATATTTTGCTTGGAGTGAACAGAAGCATGATTACGGGCCAGTT